TGTTCCATCTGTTACCATTTTTAATTAAGCGATGATTAAAGGCTGACCTTCAGAAGAACCTGGGTGGGACAGAGGGCCTGGAGCTGAGAAGTAGGATATGTGTACCCCTGCCCCTCTTTCCCAAATGGGCACCCCAGCTTCGAGTCCCCAGTCACTCCCCTGTACCCACTGATGATGAGAGAAGGCCCTGAACCAGTGCTTTAAAACACCGTGAAAGAACCAAACTTAAAAATCTCAGGAAACCACAGGTAGGGCCTGCTCATGTAGCTTGTGTGAGGAGAATGAACAGAAAGTTCTACCACCATTCCTGTTCCTCTGGGCTTGTCACCAGCATCTTGTACATGGTCCCTTCCACAGCTGCCTTGCAAAGGGGTAGGGGCAGAGAAGTGGGAGCAGGGGGTGGGAGGGTAGGTGGGGGAAGACCAGCACAGCAGAAGTGCAAATACAAAAATCTTAATTTACTGGGGCACCTGGGTGGCGCAGTGATTGAACATCTGCCTTCAGCTCAGGTTGTGACCCCAGGGTCCTAGGATCAAGTCCCACTTGGGGCTCCCTGCAAGGAGCCTTCTTTTCCCTCTGCCTGTGTCTCTGCATCTCTCATGAATAAATTAATTAAAAATCTTTTTTAAAAATCTTAATTTCCTGCAGACTATTTTCTCGTGTTGCAACTCCAGTGTTCTGAACATCAATAGATAGACATTTGTTTTAAAAAATGATAACAGAATATATCTACAAGTCAATCTAGTTTAACTTTTTCTAAAATCTGTGATTTCTTTTCAAGACTCTTTTGACTGTTTGACTGGTTTTATCCATCAGACCAATTAGAGCTTAGTCTTCATCCCAGCAGGAGTGAGCAGGAATGAAATATTTTCCTTTAATCATGAGAGAAAATCTTGTTTGGAGTTGTCCTTCCCTTCTCAATATTCTCCATGGCTGCCCAGCAGACTTTGTCTACATCACATCAGCCAGAGTTGTGCCACATGGCCACCACTAGCTGCAGAGGATTATGAGGAAGAGCAGGGGGCTATAGTGGGCTTGGTGCAAACACAACCCCACAGGGCTGCGCACACTGTGGCCTCAAACAAAATGAAGGTTGTCATCAAGGAAGAAGACAGGAATTGATGTTAGGTCAGTCAACAATGTCTGCCATGACAGTGCACTTTGCTCATTCATTTATTCATTCATGAATAAGTATTTTCTGAGCACTGATTAAGTTCCGGGCCCTGTGCTAGGCCTTTGGAACACATGAGTAAACAAAAGAGGCAGAGACTTCTGACCTCCCAAGGAGTTTCTTGGAGGGGTGAGGGCAATTTTTAAAATGAAGCTTTATAGTAATTTTAGAAGTTGACAGATGCTTTTGAGGGAAGATACAGCAGAGAAGGAGGATAGAGAATGACAGGGACTGGGGGTCAGGTTGCAAGTAGACACTAGGCAGTCCTGGAATCATTCAGGCTGCTTTGTTACGAATGAACTGTTGGGGACGAGGGTGGTAGTCCAGAGACCAATATTGAGGCTACTGCAATAATCTAGACAAGAGGTAACTAACTGACTGCTTAGACGAAGGCAGCAACATTCTTCACCACATTAAACAACAGGAGAAAGATAACACACACACACACACACACACACAAAAAGAAGAAGGAAGCCCAAAATTTCTCTTCCCTGTGTGTGTATTCCTGTATTCCTTTGCTGCTAATAAAGTGCAGAAGCCAGAAATTGAAAGAGCAGTGGGCTTTTTCATTCTCATTTTCTACCAGCCTTAATTACATCCTATTAAAGTCAGTTCTTAAGCTGCAAAGCAACCATCTATGAATTTACGGATTTCCTTCCCCTCTGGTTTGCCGAGCTCCTTATCAATGAACACCTTTCACCCAAACAAGAAGACGTGTGAGGAACTCAGTAGGATACTTTGTTTCAGGATAAAGTTACTGAATTAAAAATAAATGGTGAATGATCATGTTTTCCTTTTTGGTTTTAATAACCAAGGCTAATCCAAGAAACCTGCTTGCTTAGATGTTTTTGTTCAGTGATCATTTGTTATTATCCCTATTGAAAGATGGAACTTTGGATGACTGGGTAGACTCTGGAGAGATGAAATAAAGGAGGGAGCAGATGGTGAATGGGAATGGTCGGTAGAAAAAGGAGAATGGGAAGTAAAAGATACGCAGATGGTAGTAGCATCAGTGACCCTGAAGCAGTGGACAAAAGAAAGAATGAGCTAATGCTTTCCCAGCTGCATCTGCTGACCCCACCAGACTTACAGCTGTCCTTTCTTGTCCATTGGGTTTTTCAATGACCCAGGGTGCAGATCACAACTCTGGATACCTCTGGAGAGGTATCTGGGGAGGACCATGGGCAGGTCAGAGCTTCCGCATTTAGAGGCCAGATGCTGATGTGAAAAGAAACGTCTCTGCAGGTAAGCACAGTTTATTGAAATTCCATAAAGTATAGTGAAGTTGCTGATGCCACAGCATCCGACGTGTCTATCTGTACACTGGCTTTCGTCCTCTCCCCCCAGCTTCACTCTCTCTGACATCCCACACCCCACCCATTGCCTCATCATTCTATCCTGCATTTTCTTTCGTCACTCAGGCATAGACTCACCCTTCAATTGACTAGAGTGACCATCCTAACTTCATTAACCATCACAGTGATGTATTGTATGTAATTGTCATCAACCCAAATGTAAAAGGTGATACTGTCATTAGTATTGCAGATATTTTTACCTAGAACAAATCCGGGGCGGTATATGGTCCATTCTCATTTTTGCAGATGGGTACACAGAGGCCTGAGGCCATAAATGGCTCTACCAAGGCCACAAAGTGATTTGGGAACAAAGGCAGGATGACGCAGAGTGGATTCTTGAGTCTCACGCATTAGGAGGCTTTTAGCTTTTAAACTTTTCAGTGAGGCACATTTTCTGAACATCTGTTTAAATCTCAGATTTATCACTGTTTTCTCCAGAACAATGCTGCTGGTTCCTCCACACCTCCCCTTCCCACCATGCTGAGATACCCTCTTTGCTTTGAAGATTCTTCAGCTTTCACCCTTGACAGGAGTAGTGGTGGTGAAAAGAAACTACGACTGTTTCTTTTGCTGTGCAGAAGCTTTTTATCTTGATGAAGTCCCAATAATTCATTTTTGCTTCTGTTTCTCTTGCCTTCATGTTCAAAAGCTTCTGCACAGCAAAAGAAACAGTCAACAAAACTGAGAGACAACCTACAGAATGGGAGAAGATATTGGCAAATGACGTATCAGATAAAGGGCTAGTTTCCAAGATCTATAAAGAACTTATTAAACTCAACACCAAAGAAACAAACAATCCAATCATGAAATGGGCAAAAGACATGAAGAGAAATCTCACAGAGGAAGACATAGACATGGCCAACATGCACATGAGAAAATGCTCCGCATCACTTGCCATCAGGGAAATACAAATCAAAACCACAATGAGATACCACCTCACACCAGTGAGAATGGGGAAAATTAACAAGGCAGGAAACCACAAATGTTGGAGAGGATGCGGAGAAAAGGGAACCACTGTTGGTGGGGATGTGAACTGGTGCAGCCACTCTGGAAATCTGTGTGGAGGTTCCTCAAAGAGTTAAAAATAGACCTGCCCTACGACCCAGCAATTGCCCTGTTGGGGATTTACCCCAAAGATACAGATGCAATGAAATGCCGGGACACCTGCACCCCGATGTTTCTAGCAGCCATGTCCACAATAGCCAAACTGTGGAAGGAGCCTCGGTGTCCATCTAAAGATGAATGGATAAAGAAGATGTGGTTTATGTATACAATGGAATATTACTCAGCCATTAGAAACGACGAATACCCACCATTTGCTTCCATGTGGATGGAACTGGAGGGTATTATGCTGAGTGAAGTAAGTCAATCGGAGAAGGACAAACATTATATAGTCTCATTCATTTGGGGAATATAAAAAGTAGTGAAAGGGAATAAAGGGAAAAGAGAAAATGAGTGAAAATATCAGTGAGGGAGACACAACATGAGAGACTCCTAACTCTGGGAAATGAACAGGGGTAATGGAAGGGGAGGTGGGCGGGGGGTGGGGGTGACTGGATGATGGGCACTGAGGGGGGCACTTGGGATGAGCACCGGGTGTTATGCTATATGTTGGCAAATTGAACTCCAATAAAAAAAAATCTAAAAAAAAAAAAAAAAGACACTATGAAAATTTGTGTCCATCGTCCAAACCAGAAACAACCCCTCTACTAGAAAAGAATTATGCTTGGTGTGGCAGGCCTTCGTTTTTCTTTTGTCCTTTAATAACTCATCCTTAGTTGAAGTCATAATGAGTCGGCTTTTTTTTTTTATATCCAGACAATCTCACCTGCCAGTCAATCCTAGGCCTTTGTCTCTTCTGGGTGGGTCATCATCATCTCAAGCATTTGCTTCTGATGAATGCCTGTGGTTGTGGCACACACCTGGAAACTCCTGGAAACTGCAGAAAAGAGCATCTATCAGCTAGAAGCCGGCTCCCCTCGTTGTGACCGATGCGTCTTCCCCCTCTTCACACCGAGACTTTGCAAGAGTCGGAGTTAGGCTGGGAAACGGACTAGGGGTGGGGGAAGGGGAGGAGGGCGGGGGGTGGGGGTGACTGGGGGACGGGCACTGGGGGGGGGGGCACTTGATGGGATGAGCACTGGGTGTTATTCTGTATGTTGGCAAATTGAACACCAATAAAAAATAAATTTATATTTAAGAAAAAAAGAGTCGGAGTTAGGGCTGCACAGCAGGGTTCTCTTTGCTCCCCGCCCCCCGTCGTTAAGAGCGAGGTGGAAACCGGGACGCAGCGGAGCGGTCCTGCAGGGCGGGAACCAGGTGCGGGCTCTGCAGGAGGCCCCGAGGGGCGGGGACGGTGAGCGCGGGAGCCGCCAGGGGGCGCTGTGGCCCCGGTGCGCGGGGCGGCGGCGAGGGGAGGACTCTCCCCGAGCTGCCCGGGCGCCGCCCTGTCCCAGCCTCCTCTGCGGGTAAACAGACATGGCCGGCGAGAGAGACCCGCAGGACGCTGCGCACAACATGGGCAACCACCTGCCGCTCCTCCCTGGTAACCTCCCGGGGCCGGTCCCCGGCGGCGGCGGGACGGGGCGAGGCTCGAGCGCCGAGCGGCGCGGCAGGGCTGGGGAGCGGGGCGGGGGGCGCCGAGGCCCGCTGGGGCGCCCCGGGGAGCGGCCGCATCTCAGGCCTCCGGCCACGACCGGGTCCCGGCTCACCCGTCGCGGGCTGGGTCGCCCCAGGCTAGGGGCGAGGGTTTGGGGGTCGCGGAGGGGTCCGCCCCCAAGCCCAGGGACCCTTCCCTCTCCGCCCGCTGTGTGTCCGGAACTTGGCTCCTGGAAATCGGCTTAGAACTGAGGGGGAGGGAAGGAGGGCAGACGGAGGATGCGGCGAGGTTAGCAGCCGTTACTTTTCCGGGACGGTCTTCCGTCCGGGTAGGGGGACAGCGGGCAGGGACCAAGCGCTCCCCACGTCAGGGGCCCGGCAGTGAGCGCCTGGCACGCGTCTCTCCGTTCCATCCTCCCCACACAACTTTTCGGATCCCGATTTGGTAGGAGAGACCTAAATTAGCAGATGAGTGCAGTGGCTTGCCCAAGGCGGCACAGTCGCAGAGCCGGGACTGCACATCTGTCCGCAGGACCCTTCCGTCCGTATCGCCGGGGCCGCTTAACCGCTTCACTGCCAGACAGTGTTGGTATAGGTTGTTGTCGGGCACGTAGCTCAAGCAAGTAGTGGAATATGCTTGATGAGAGAGACCTGGGAGTGTGATGTTAAATACAGTGGTTTGGTGGTGGTGGTTGTCGTTGTTTACTTTTGTTCCTCAAAAATTTAGAGCATGGCTTTATGTTAGAATCCGGGGCAGAAAGAAGAAAAAAAAAAAAAAACACTAAATGCATGAAATAATCCGTATGGATTTGTCACGGGAGGCTGTAGAAGTGCGGCTTTTCAAGGTTATCGGACAAACTGGGGCCTTTAGCTGGGTTCCTTCACTGCGTGCCGTTTAGGTGTTAACGGGCATGAAAAGAGGTAGGATAACACCGCCTGGTACTTGAGGAAGTGTATGATCCATATGAGGCCGAAGATAGTTGATTTAGGACCGGATAAGTTAATGCTATCGTCCTGAAGAGGGATTGAGGTAAAGCATTGTGAAATGGTTCTGGAGACATCCAAAAGCATGTACTTAGGGCTGGGCTGTGGAAGAGGAGGCCTAGGAGGTAGGCCAAGTCTGTTGTTGGGGAGCTTGCATCTCTTGCCAGTGGGTTGGGGCTCTTTCCCACGGGTTGCCCAGAAACGGTTGTGGGTTACAGGGCCCAAGGGAAGCTTTTCTTGGAGGATGAGTTTGTCCCCTGGGAGTTGTGGGGCACCAAAGAGGAGAAGACTGAATGCATGCCCACCATACAGAAGGGAACTTTTATGTAGAAATAAACCCAGAGTCAGAGTTGGTGGTTGTTCCTGAGGCCAACCTAGCTGAACTGACATAAAGGTAAGTGTGTCAGCCTTTGACTGAAGAGCTGAGCTGTTTATTTCAGAGACATCAGCTCCACTCCGAACGTGCCAAATCCAGTGTTTCGGGGAGGTTACTGATGTTCTGTTGGCATTCATGTGCTGCTCCTGCATGAGATGAGTCATCAGACTTCACCCTGGTAGTTCTGAACAGTGTGTGTTTTGTTGAAAAGAATCAGGAGTGAGGGAGTGCCTGGGTGGCTCAGTTGGTTAAGCAGCTGACTCTTGATTTCAGCTCGGGTGATGATATCAGGGTCCTGGGATCAAGCCCCACATCAGCTGCCCACTCAGTGAGAAGTCAGCTTGAAGATTCTCTCCCTCTTCCCCTGCCATGCTAGCATGCTCGCTCGCACGCCCGCGCTTTCTCTCCAATAAGTAAATACATACATACATACATACATACATACATACATACATACATAAATAGGAAGGAGGGAGGAGGGAGGAAGGAAGGAAGGAAGGAAGGAAGGAAGGAAGGAAGGAAGGAAGGAAGGAAGGAAGGAGAAGGAAGGAAGGAAGGAAGGACCAGGAGTGAGAAGGCCCAGAGAGTTGTGGATATAATAATAAAGCTTTTCTTTTCTTTCTTTTTTTTTTTTTTGGTGTTCAGTTTGCCAACACATAGAGTAACACCCAGTGCTCATCGCATCAAGTGCCCCCCCCCCCGTGCCTGTCCCACAGTCACCCCCTACCCCCCGCCCACCTCCCCTTCCACCACCCCTAGTTCGTTTCCCAGAGTTAGGAGTCTCTCCTGTTCTCTCTCCCTTTCTGGTATTTCCCACTCATTTTTTTTTCCTTTCCCCTTTATTCCCTTTCACTATTTTTTATATTCCCCAAATGAATGAGACCATATAATGTTTGTTCTTCTCCAATTGACTTACGTCACTCAGCATAATACCCTCCAGTTCCATCCACGTCGAAGCAAATGGTGGGGATTTGTCGTTTCTAATGGCCGAGTAATATTCCATTGTATACATAGACCACATCTTCTTTTCTAAATCATATGAGTTTTATTTGTAAAGAAACATAGGATCATCCATAAAGCCATGTGGTATGAATTGTTTTAAAAAGCAGTATTCTTTAAGTGCTGAGGAAGTAGTTTAATATTTAAGATGCCCAGAATCTGTCTTGGCCAAAAGGAAACATTAATAAATAAACAACTGAGTAGGGGGAAGTGGGTTTTGGCCATATTTATGAGAAGGACTACTGTATATAAGGAAATTGAGATTTTTGTTGTTGTTATCTTTTGGTTAAACACCTGTGTTCTTAGCAAAAATATTTATGAAGCCGTAGACCACTGACCATTTAAATGTAAGTTGGAATAATCATGTTACTCTCCTTAACTTATCCTTATATCCAGGAATTCCAGAGAATTAAAAGAAAGTCCTAGGCAGTTACTGTATTGAAAAACATTTGTTGGGATGCCTGGGTGGCTCAGATGGTTAATGTCTGCCTTCAGCTTGGGTCATGATCCCACAGTCCTGGGATGGGTCCCAAGTTGCTTCTCCCTCTGCCTGCTGTTCCCCCTGCTTGTGGGCTCTCTCACTCTTTGCTCTCTCTCTCTCTCTGACAAATAAGTGAATAAAATCTTTAAAGAAAGAAAAAAACATTTGTTTTTTCTAGTCAGGAACCAAGTTGGAGGTAATTGGACTTAGATAATGATATACACAAAAGAAAATGACAATTTTGTAATGACGTTTTATCTGTTTAGAAGTGTATTTGGGGCATTTAAAAATACATGAAATATGAGGTCAGAAATGAGATTCAGTTTGTCTAGGCCAGGATTTCTTAACCTCAGCACTTTTGATTTTGGGGACTGGAAAATTCTTTGTTGTGGAGAACTGTCCTGCAGGATGCATCCTTGTAGGATGTTTAGCAGCATCTCTGGCCTCTGCCCACTAGATGCCAGTAGGGCTCCCCTGGTTGTGACAACCAAATATATTTCCAGACATTTCCAAATATCCCTTTAGGGGCAAGATCATCCCTAGGTGAGAACTGCTGATCCAGAGTAGGAATTTTACCCACTGCTGTCGTTAACAGGACAAACTCCCATTTAGTAGAATAGCACCTATTTGGTGCTATTTCTAACTTTCTATTATTAGTGACATCAACTTTTTAAAGTAGATCAGCTTAGTTTTCATAATCTAAAAATTTTGTTTGGGGAAAGTTTTCTAAGACATTTCCTTTAAAATCTATTTTATGTTTCATGTGAACTTTATTTTTACATTTAAAATTCCAAAGCAAAATTGGAATGAAAATGATTACAAACATTTCACTTTTTAATAGTATAGTGACAGCCAAGGATGTGCTGTCCCTGCTATGAAAATGTTTTTGCTGGGTAATAATGTTATCTTTTTCTATTTTAATTAAAGAGTCTTCCTTCCTTCTTTCCCGTCTTTTATAAAAACTTTAAAGAGTTTTAAAGAAACTTAGTGATTGTCTTGTTCCTGCCTGTCATTTTTCAGATACGGAAACTAAGGCATAATCAGGTGAAATGAGCTGTGGAAGGTCTCTAAATTAGTTACTGGCAAGGGAGAAGAAACAAGTTTCTCACACTAAAGAATTTAAATAATTTATGTAGATACTTCCTCTTCAAGTAGAAGGGAGCATAATCCCCAACTTCTTAAGTATGAGTTGTGCTGCATAATTGGCTTCCAGAGAGTACAATGTAGAAAGGAGGAAAGAGTAACTTTACAGTAGAGAAACCTGATAAAGAAATCTCAGGTGGGTGATTATGATCAACATTAGTAATCAGTCATATTTGATAGTATGCACCCTTGATAGGATGTGATGAACACAGCCCTTAGTCTCTTGTGGTGTTATCCCCAAAGTACATAACCTCAATGTAGGCATAAGAAATACATCAAACAAATTCTAATTAAGGGACATTCTATAAAATGCCTGCCTTTCTCCTCACAACTGTCAAGGCCATCAAAAACAAGGAAAGTTTGAGATACCAGCCCTGAGGAGACTAAGGAGACATGACGACTAAATGTCACATGTGCTAGTTTGGATGGGATCTTGAAACAGAAAATGGGTGGTAGGTAAAAATAAGGAAATCCAAATAAAATGTGGAGTTTAGCTAATAGTAATGTGCTACCACGGATTGCTTAGACAGATGTACCATACTGGTAGAAATGTTAGCTATGGGGGCAAACGGAGACAAGATCTCTAAAAAAAGAAGATTTCAGTATATCTTTGCATTCTTTATGTAAATCTTAAACTATTCTGAAAAAAAAAAATAGTAGTTAGTGGCAGACCCCTGCATAGGCCCCAGCCCTCTGGCTACCTCTTCACAGGATATAGAGATTACCACATGTGAGTGGTGTTAGAAGAAACCCTCTTCTCATGGGCTCAGAATCCTCATGAAAGAATTACGTATTTGAAGGGGAACAGCGCTTTGACATTTTCTTGCAGCCATTTTGTTTTCTCATAATCTTCTACTTTTATAGCAGAGAGTGAGGAAGAAGATGAAATTGAAATGGAAGTCGAAGACCAGGATAGCAAAGAAGCCAAAAAACCAAATGTCATAAATTTTGACACCAGTCTGCCAACATCACATACAGTACGTAATGTAGTTACAGATCTTATACCGTAGGTACATCCCTGTAACAGTAGATGGAGGTTCCTACCAAGTGAATGAGGGTAGCCTAATTGGATATTACCTCACAGTAGAAAATTGTGGATGAGGATGTGGGCTCTTTGCCAGTAGATACACATACTTGACTATACTTTTCAAGCATTTTGATACCATTTCCTGGAATAATTTTTTGAAGAATTGTCACCCTCCATATGTTTCCACTAGTAATAGAGCTACTAAAGTACTTCTTACTCTCTGTACTACTTGCTACCAGGGTGTTAGTTAACATGCTAACATTTTATAGTTGTCATTTGTGATATTTAGACCTAGAAATGTTTCTTAGAGGAAAGATTTTGAACTAAAAAGTGCTCCTGAATTTATTTGTGAGGCATTTTTCACGAGATAATAGAAATTCTACTATAAGAATCAGAATTAGAGGGACGCCTGGGTGGCTCAGCAGTTTGAGCATCTGTCTTTGGCTCAGGGCATGATCCCAGATCTGGGGATCAAGTTCTGTATCGGGCTCCCTCTTGGGAACCTGCTTCTCCCTCTGTGTCTCTGTGTCTCTCGTTGAATAAATAAATAAAATCTTAAAGAAAAAAAAAAAGAATCAATTAGATTTTCATGTGGGAGACTGAGACACCAACTTATTAAATAAATATTTGTACGATCTTCATATTTCTTTTATACTCTGATTTGCTCTTATGTCTTTTGAGCTTGTATTTCTATTACATATCTAAAATGACAATGTATCTATGTGTTCTTGAATAGTATCTGGGCGCTGATATGGAAGAATTTCATGGCAGGACTTTGCATGACGATGACAGCTGTCAGGTTATTCCAGTCCTGCCACAGGTGATGATGATCCTGATTCCTGGGCAGACCTTACCTCTTCAGCTCTTTCGTCCTCAGGAAGTCAGTATGGTGCGGAATTTAATTCAGAAAGACAGAACCTTTGCAGTTCTTGCATACAGGTAAATTATTAGAGTGAATTTGCTTAACACATTCTCTCTCACGTAGAGTCACAGCAGAGGTCAGTGTTAAAGCCAAACCCGACTATTACTTTGCATGCAACAGGAGACTGGATAAAGATGTAAGGTAAGAAATGTTGATGAAGAGATTGAAAGTGCAAGTTGGAGTATTTATATTGTTATTACCATCCAAATCAGACATTTACTGTCACACACAATTAAACTTTTGGTTTTTGAAATTTTTAAACCATTAATGTCTAATAAAAATTTCTGGAACCTTCTTTTCAAACACTCATTATTTGAAGAGAAAGAGGGCTTCTACATTTTAACGTAAAGGATTACTTTTACAAAGAAGTAGTTTGTTTTTTTCTCTCTCTCAAAATTCATAAGTTGTCCCCCTATAGCCCAGTGTCAAACTGGTATTTCAGGTATCCTGTGGCAGCTGGAGGAAATCATTGGTAGAGGCCGGAAATGTACATGGGGATTTCCCACCCCAGTATAATGCTGCTAATATTAAGCAGTAGAAATGATGGTCTATTGAAGTAAAAGAATGTCTGGTTTGGGAAACGAGGGCTTAAAATCCCCATCAGTTGTAGATCATTTACAGTGACTAGGGATCTATTATTTTGCTGAAGTGCTCTAGTTGTAATTCTTTTTTTGTTTCTTTTTTTGTTCTAATTGTAATTCTGAAGCCTTCTATATCTGCATTTCCCTGTGCAATCTCAAAATAAAATAATAGCTTTGCAATAAGGGCTAACTGCTATATTTTTTTATCATGTGTTGCTTTTGCCACTTTGCATATTTAAAAATTAAATGTTCAAAATTATTTCCTTTTAAAATTTATCTTGGAAGTAATATACAGGAGAGGGAAGCACAGTTTGGAACAACTGCAGAGATATATGCCTATCGAGAAGAACAAGATTTCGGAATTGAAATAGTGAAAGTGAAAGCAATTGGAAGACAAAGGTTCAAAGTACTTGAACTAAGAACACAGTCAGATGGGTAAGAAATACCATAGATCTTAAAGCTGTGTGTACATCATTAAATGAGGTGGTTTTCTTACATTTTTTTCTGTTGTACTGACCTCTCACATTTTGTAACTTTTAATTAGTTGTTCTCTTTCCCCTGGAAGATATAACCTAGTGGTTTCCAACTTAGCTATGCATCAGAACCATGTCGATGGTTTTTAAAACTATAGAAGCTTAAGTTTCATCCTCATCTCCCATTCCTAGAGAGTGCTTTAATCTTGGATGAGGCTGCAGCATCTTTTTCCATGAATTCTGGATGATTCTCATGTCCCCCTAGTTTTGGGAATAGTAATATAAACCCAAAGTACAGTGTCTTTGGGACAGGCTTCTTTGGGATTGAAAGCCTCTCTTCAAAGTGAAAAAGGGTGGAGAGGCCACAAGCTCCTGAGCTCTCTGAGTTCTCTGTGTGTGCACCGGGACAGCTGTCATGTTTGCAGCATTCCTGTGATACTTGAAAACCACAGTGCTTACACCTGCCAGCTGCTCCACCTAAGCTGTAGAAACCATTTGCAGTTAGGACCCATCTCTGGTGTGAATTTTACATCTCCCACAAATGTATAAACTCTATAATAAGTGATCACTGAATGCTTGTTGTCTCTATACCTTCTAAAGTTTGGAAGTTCTCTGAGTATATTGTTTTAACAGTTATTTTGACATGGCTTTCTTGGCTCAAGCTTTTTAGGTACTACTAACCTCATCCCAAAAAAAAGAAAATTCAGTTTACCTTACTTTACCCTTTTAAAAACAAAGCTAAACAAAATAAACATTTGTCTTGATGATTGCATGTTAGGTCTTAAGGGAATGGTTCTCAACTCTGGCACATAAGACTCCCAAAGTCTTTCTTATGTTACAAAGGTACAGATTCCTGGATTCACCTAGTCTTAGTGAATTTGTCTTTTATAGCCAGAGCTGAAAATTTTATCTGACCTCTGTGTTGAAAAGATAATATCTGCTGAACACTTGGAACTTCAGAGGTTTTGTCTTGTTTTATTCACATGGTGGACATACACAAATATGACTGAATTATGGAAGTCTAATGGATGAGTGAGGCAACCCTTTGGCACTAGAGAAAGCATAGAAAAAAATGAGGGATGGTGTCCCAGAGCCCTCAATGGCACCCCCCCAGAACATTCATGGTGCAGACTCCTGTGGTATTAGCACACTGTACTGTCATTACAGGATTGTCTCCCTCAATAGATGAGCTGCCTGAGGACAATGACTAACACTTCTATATATTCTGTACTTAGGATCATAAATGCTACATGAATGAATGAAACAGTGTCCTGAGGGCTCTGTACTGTGATAATTAGCAAGCTGTTTAGTTACTGCAGATTTTACTAACAGTTCCATACTTAAAGTACTTCCTACCCCCCTGCTAATAACATGTTGATTATTTGTGAGTACTATATTATGGGAACCATAAAAGAAAATTGACTTGGGGAAAAAAATAAGTTTCTGAGGCTTTCTTGACTTTTGATTGTGAAAAAACTATTTTGAACACAAGATGGCAGTAGACCATTAACTCTGAAAACAGGTCAGAGACTACATGTTTGACTAAAGATAAACATGAAACGGATAGGGTTAGACAAGACTTGGTAAGGGCACATTCTTTCTATTATCCCATAGACCCTATGCTAACAGAGGTGAGTCTTTCTTAATATAAAACGCTTCCATGGAGTGAGATTCCTCTAGTTCTCCTGCCCCTCTGGCCTCTAACTCCTTTCAGTAGAAATGGTGAAATGGAGATAATCTAGTGCAATTTCCTCTTTTTCCAAATAAAACTAAATACTAGAGAGATTAAATGATTTGTCTAAAGTGATGCAGCTAGGAAGCAACAGTTGGTTGGTTTTAGGTCCCCTGACTTCCAAACTAGAGCTTCTTCCACTCTACTAGAACTCCTTTAAGCACCTTGAAACTCCAGCCAGTTTCCTGTTCTCCAGTCAAATAGTGCTAGATAAATAGTCATCTGTCTTTTACATAATGACCCTTCATATAAAAATCATAGCACTGCCATCTATCCTTTTCTAAGTTAAGAGTATTGATTTCTTTGGCATTTTCTGAACACATGAAGGGTTTTTTTTTTTGTTTTTTTTTTTTTTGTATTTTGAAAAGTTAATTAAAAAGTAGAATTGTGTCACTGAATCACTATAGAACCCTTCAGAAGTTCCTGAGGGGAAACAAGCATTCCGGAGGCGGGGCAAGATGGCGGAAGAGTGGTGTCCTCAACTCACCTGGTCCCACCAACTTACCTAGATAACTTTCAAAACATCCTGAACACCTATGAATTGGACCTGAGATTTAAAGAGAACAGCTGGAATGCTACAGGGAGAAAAGTTTTAACTTCTAACAAGGTAGGAAGGCAGAAAAAAATAAAAAAAGAATAAAGTAGGGGAGGGGATCTGTGACTAGCAAGGCTAAAGCAGATGTTGAAAGCCTCCCGGACAGGAAAGCCCAGCCCTGGAAAAGCGGGAACTTTAAAAATCTGCGCTGGATTTTTCCTGATGGAAAAGTGCTTGCAGGGAAATCGGGCAGAATTGCAGGAGGGCCAGTGAAGCCTCAAGATTCCTGGTGTCACTATAAGATGAGGGGCGCCCCGGGGGAAAACATCACAAACTGCAGGCTAGCTGGAGCACCGTAGCCCTCGGGGCATTTGGAAGAGGCCAGTCGGTTAGACAGGCCGGCTCTGGATGGAGGTGGCTGTGCCCCTTTCCCTTCAGGAGCGGTGGCCCCCAGGAGCACAGTTCCAGCAAAACAGGGCACCCAAGTGGACAAAGCCAGCGATCCTGCGTTCCCCCTGGGACAGGCGGGACCGGGGAGAGCACAGGACAGTGAGAACTCTCCTGCCGCTGGGCACCCCGCAAGCTATGCAGATCAGCGCACAGGCACCAGCCCCCAGGAGCATCTAAGCCAGTGTGGACAGGGAGACAGCGTTAGTTACAGGTGGGGAGCTGACTCTAGAGCTGGAGATCTGGCCATCACCATTGTTGTTTTTCCTCCTTGTTTCACCTTGTGCCTTGGAGAGTTGGATTCCAACAAGGGAAACACAGGATAAACAGCTCACACTGAGCCCGGCACCAAGCCAGGGGAGGGACATCTCCACCCAGGCACAGACACCTGAGAATCACCACAGCAGATCCCTCCCCCAGAAGACCAGCTGGAAGAACAAGGGAAGAGCAACTTCTTGACCAAGCAGCGCTGGAAAGCTCCAGGCCCCAGAGAAAATTGAGGGAATATAGTATATAGAACTAGAGGGTATCCCCCACCCCACCCCCCGCTTTTTTTTTTTTTTTTGTTCCATTACAACACTTTTTTTTATCTCAGACTAAAAATCTCCAATATTTTTTCTCTTTTCCCAACTTAACTACAATATTTTACCAGCTCTTCAGTTTTAAGCTTTTTCCTTTTGACTTTCATATTTCTACAATTACATGTCCTAGATATATTTTTCACTTCTGGATTCCCTTTAGCATATTCAATTTAATTATGGGAGATATACAAGATACGGGTTTTTGTTTTGTGTTTTTTGCTTTCTCTGCCATGTTTTGTTTTACAATGGCGGAAGTTAATACCTCCAAAAACATTACCAGAATACACTCAGAACCAAGTGGAATTCCATGCTGGTTCATTCTGTTAGATTATATTCTCTCTTCATTCCCATTCTGCCCCCCACTTCTGTCTTGTTTATGTTTTGGTGCTCAGTGTTGGGGCTTTCTATAAGTATAGCTGGTTTATATAAGTTGGGAATTGAGCATCTTCTAACATACAGAACAAAATACACTCAGAACCAAGAGGATCACCCTCTAGGATCCCTCAGGTAGACTGCATTCTCTCTCCACTACCACTTCTTCCACCACAGTCCCCCTCCCCCCCTTTTTATCTTTTATCATTTTCCTTTTTACTTTTTCTTTCTTTTATTTTTCTTTTTTCTTTTTTATTTTTTCTTCTTCTTTGGGGTTTTTGGCCTTTTTACTACATTGTTTTAAAATTTGTTTTTCTCATTAGTGGTCCTTTTATTCTGTTCTGATCTTTTTCATTTTCTGGTCTCTGACCTCATCAGAATCATGTGGGGGTGGGATTTATTTAGGTCGTGGTTGATATTTTTGACTCAGCCCACTCATACAGCTACTCTGCACTGAACAAAATGACTAGAAGAATTCATCACAAAAGAAAGAATCAAACGGTACTCTCTGCCACAGAGTTACAGAATATGGATTTCAATTTGATGTCAGAAATCCACTTCAGAAGCACAATTACAAAGCTACAGGTGGCTCTGGAAAAAAGCATAAAGGACTCTAGCGACTTTGTTACTGTAGAATTGAGATCTAATCAGGCCGAAATTAGAAAATTAAATGAGATGCAATCCAAACTGGATATCCTAACTGCTGGGGTTAATGAGGTGGAAGAAAGGGTGAGTGACATAGAAGACAGGTTGATGGTAAGGAAGCTAAGGAAAAAAAGAGAAAAACAGCCCATGAGTAAAGGCTAAGGGAAATAAATGATAGCCTGAGAAGGAAGAATCTACATATAATTGGGGTTCCAGAAGATGCCAAGAGAGAGGGCCACAAAGTATGTTTGAACAGATCATAGCTGGGAACTTCCCTAATCTGGGGAAGGAAACGGGCATTCAGATCCAGGACATAGAGAGGTTCCCCCAAAAAAATATCAATAAAAACCGTTCAAAACCTCCACATTTAATAGTGAAACTTACAAATTCCAAAGATAAAGAGAAAATCCTTAAAGCAGCAAGAGACAAGAGAGTGTTAACTTATATGGAGAGAGATATCAGATTAGCAGCAGACCTCTCCACAGAGACCTGGCAGGCCAGAAAGGGCTGGCAGGATATATTCAGGGTCCTAAATGAGAACATGCAGCCAAGAATACCTTATCCAGCAAGGCTGTCATTCAGAATAGAAGGAGAGATAAAGAGCTTCCAAGATAAGCAGAAACTGAAAGAATACGTGACCACCAAACCAG